TTCTCTGCGCCCTGCGATTGTCTGGCAACCGGTTCAGGGTGTCCCCCGCCTACTGACCAAAGACAGCTGGGATAGGCTCCAGCACTCCCCGCGATAATTGTGAGGATAGAGCGGATCAGAAAATGCATGGATGCACTGTATGTATGTAGGACAAACAAAACCAAGCTCTTTATTGCGTTGAATTTTTGTCATTTACCTCAGAACCGTAAAATGAATTGGTTGTGATGCAGTTTCTAAACTTTTTTTTTTTCCAGAATTGTTGTTTTTTTTTTTTTAATTTTTTTTTTTTTTTTAATTTTGAATCAATAGTCAATCAACACTGCAAACATCAATGAACTACTGGAGTGTCTCCAGAGGCCAGCTGTCTAAGTGGCTCACAGCGAGCAGGCAACACAGCCGTTCTTGTGTGTGGTCACTTTGTAAGTCATGATTAATAATTCACCAGTGTCTCCATAGATCTAGCTAGTGGCTTCAGGCCACTTCCTCTCCTGAGGACAATGGGAGCATTTCCTGCGGGTGTGAGGCAGAAGACCGAACGGATTTGTTTATGGTCTATGTGTTGGGTCACAAGCACAATGAACTGTTTTTTTTTTTGTTTTTTTTACAGATCGATTTCTTTAGATCTATATCCACACTTATACATCATCTGCATGGTTGCAGTGCAACTGATAAAATTAATTTACACATTCAATAGAATGACCACACTATCAAAAACCGGGGGGAGCTCTTTTCCACGTTAAGGTTGCTAAATACAGTAAATAGTCAAGACAATGGTGGTATTCATGCACACTGAATTAAAGATAAAGTATATCATTATGATGGGACCACAAACCGCACCCTACAATTTAGAGCATGGCCTATCTTTTTGAAAATATTTCAATCAAAAAATAAAATAAAATATATATAACCCTTTTGTTTATTTATCCCTATTGTCAAATTATTTTCAATCTTTTCTATGAAGTACCATCATTTTTGTCTAAGCCTGTTTCAAAAGTTGTTTTTTGTCAAATAATTCTGGAGAACCAAAATTCAAAAGCAATGTCTGGTTTTCATTGATAATTCGCCTAACATGTTTAATACTTTTGTCAGATTGCTTTTTTTTCTTCCATTAACAGAGAGCTACCAATTGTGTACACGTGTGTAAAGCCCATTCTGTTCTTTACTCCAGCCTGCCGAGCATTTTCAATCACAAAACTCCAATAATATTTAAATGTGATGCATTTAGCTATTTTGTAAGTGACCATATAAATGTTTTTTGAGAAAACACACATGCACAGACATTTTGAATGACCTTGTTATTGTCTTCGGTTTATTATTGTTGTTTTAAAAAAGATGTTTGAATTTGCATTGTGTGGTGACCCGCAAGGTAATCTCTACCCTTAAGGGAGTTGAGAGAGGTGACATATTTCTGGGTTTGTCAATTAGATGATAGGCATGAAAGGGTTGAAAGTGAGTAGCTTGCTACCTGCTGTGTAGACACTAGACAGTTATTATTTTTTGTTGTTGTGGAGACATAACGTGCATTGTTTCCTTGTGTGTCATTTACTGCATCGCTACAACGGTATATTAAATATATAGGCATAGTAGTGACACACGGGGCTAAAATGAGGGTACAATGTTTCATTGATCCAATTTTTTTGTTGTTGTTGCAAATACAACTTGATTTTATTTTATTAGTAACACATCTGTAGGTCACATTGACCCTTGAATATATTTGCTGCAACTGACAGTGACTGTGTGAATGTTTGTTTGTTTGTTTGTTTGTTTGTTTGTTTGTTTGTTTGTTTGTTTGTTTGTTTGTTTGTTTGTTTGTTTGTTTGTTTGTTTGTTTGCCTTTATGTGCCCTGAGATTAGCTGGTGACCAGTCCATGGTGTACTCTTAATACTCGCAAAGCCGGTTCGGATAGGCCTCCGGATTCTTGCATTTCTGAACAGGATATGTATATATATCCTAGAAATCCCTATAAATTTATCAGTAAGACAGACAATGTTTCTGCAATTAACAACAATTTAGCTTTTTTGTTGCTTTCACCTCATCATTGAAAGGCTTGGCCCATCTGTCAGTTAAGAACTAAATGTGTGTTCCTTGTGCCCAGATGTGACGCCCCTCCTCACAACCGAACACCGTGAACCGCATCCTACAGCAATATGCACACGTTCAAAAAATCGGTGGTATCACTATGCAGTGCATGAGTAAATCCTTTCCCGACTGTGGTGACTCACTTTGCTTGTCTGGTTTCGTTGTTACTCCATCGAGGTGTGGCCTTTATGACGAGAACACTACTTGCGCATTACGCGCCGTGTCAGCACTACGTTTGTGTGCGTTGTTGTCTGTTGGAAGTAAGACACTTGAGGGGGCGAACGGACACTAAAACGCACAAATACTGTAGACAGATACTCCGCTTCAGTCTGACATTTTCAGAAAGGATTTTTTACTGTCAGTCATACACGAGGAAAAAACACTCAATGGTTTACAGTACCTCTCAACTGACAAAAAAGTGAACAGCTGTGTCGCAAGCTGACAGGAAAATTAAGACTTACAAACAACAGGTCCTAAATGAGGAAGACAAAACAACAACAAAAAAAGTCGAAATTTCACCTCCCCTCACACACAAACACACACAAACACACGCACACACTCCCAGACTAGACAGTGACATTTTCAAAGACGGAAGCTGGTGGTTTTTAAACTGACACAACAGCTACTTGACGTATGTCGTTTGTTTGTCCAGTCAAGTCACAAAGATGCATTTATTTAAAAAAAAATCGATGCGGTTGTAATCAACATGAAATGACGGGTGAGCCAATATTGCTTTACCGAGTAAATACACTCCTATACAACAGTTCCAGTTAACAATGAAGGCATTGCGCGAACAGAGGTCGTGCAGCAAGCAGGGTGGGGTCCATGTGAAGGGGGCGGAGTCGCTCGGAGGTGACGCCGCCGCTTGCACTCTTGAGCGTTGGAGTGAGGACGTTGCCTTTCAACGGCAGTGCTGCAGGGAAGAAAGAAAGTGTGGCGGAAAGTTGCGGAGAATACAAGAGAGGTTGCCGTCCTGACGGAAAGAAAAACAAGCCCTTCTTGGAATAATCTTTTGTGTAAAACTCGACAGGTGAGTTTCGCCAAATGAACCTTTCTCCCACTGTGCCTTCTTGCCGTGTTTTTCACAGTTTCTGTGAATGGGCACCTCGAAACTACGTCATATGTAACCACTCGTATGTCTGTTGGAACAATGCATTTCGACGTGTTGTACATTTCAAAGGAAGCTTTATGTTTTTGAAGTCCTCGGTTCATTTCCGCATGGTTTGCCCTGGCTACCATTTCAGCTGCAGTCATCGACACTTTACTATTGTTTTTCTCTGGTCACGGTGTTCCAGCCTTCTCTCTGTTGAATCTTTTTTTTTTTTTTTTTTTTTATGTTTGGGCTCAGTATCGATTGGTACTTGACGTCACCTGTCAATAAAGTCCCACTTTGGTTAGCGCTCGGAAAGTTCACTGTATGCGCGTGTGCGTGAGGCAGGTGAATAATTGGACGCTGTTTCATGTAATCTTTTCTTATGAGATGGTTTCATTGCTTCCTTTTTTTTTTGTGGACCTGACTTCCTGCATTATCGTGCAGAACCATGGATCTGCATGCCTTTTTTATGCCCGAATAGTTTTTCTGTTGTTTCTAATTTAATTATTGGTATTTTTAGGAAATGCAGTTGCACAGAACGAGGGTTGAGAGAGGAAAAAAACAGTAAACGGAGAAAAAAGAAAAGTTAAAATTAAAAACAGCATTCCAGCAGTATAAAAGAGTATATGACTACTGTAACTTTACATTGGAGGGAAGGCTCCATTTTGTGGACTGGTTTAACTCGCAATATAGTCAACAACTGACTGAAGTAATAATTTGTGCAAATTAACAGGAGGTCTAATTACAATCTAATATGCGATATATATTTTTTTCGCGGTCCTCAAGAATTAACTACGTCTGTATTACAATAAGCACTTATAGGTTACCAGATTGCAGAGATCAGGGTCACCAATCGTTTTGAAACCGGGAGCTACTTCTTGGGTATTGATCAATGTGAAGCGCTACCAATTTGATACACACTTCTAAAATGACGTACTTTCTCAAATGCCGTTTATTAATGTCAGGTATTAAGACACTGATTATCTTAATGACTTCTCTTAATAATTAAGATTATTTTCAAATGATCAATTCTACAACATTCCGAAAAAATCATTAGTGAGCTATTTTTAGAGCACCACTTTGGTGACCACTGGCGTAAATGATGCAGAGATAAAGTAAAGGATCTTAGTGAGATTTGTGCTGTTTGTGTGTGAATGTATTTTGAGCAGTGAATAATAGAATAGCCACCCTGACTACTTCCGGTTTGTGGCACGGCAACACCCCTCACGTAAACAGGAGCCCTTTAGAATGAGTTTCAAAAACAGTACTGACCAATAAACTGTCAGAGTTAAGAGTACAATACAATACAATTTAATGATTTTTCATAGGGAACAGTTTGACTTAGTCTTTTAAGTGTTCAATACAACAACTTAACACAATTCTGTGCTTGAAACACAAGTCACTAAGTTCTAAAACAGATTACAAAGGTTCAGCTTTTCATGCTTCATGAACGATTGACATGTAAACAAGTGGACTGAACTCAAGTGCTGATTTTTATCTAGACACTGCATAACTATTTTAATATATAAAATACAAATAACATAAATATATAAAAAATTTAATCGGCTGACTAAAATGAAGCAGCTTTTTTTTCTTTTTTTTATGAATTGCAGCATATCAATGCGGATTTGATTAAATGTTCAGCCCCAATTAATATCTAAATGACATGGATATTGTTCTCACCAAGTTCTGTCATCAAAACTGAAATGATGAATCGACTCCAGTTGGTTGAGCATTTAAAAACTCAAGTGAAAGTGAATTCAGTCACAAAAGAAACGCTTTGTTGGAGAATATCTTTGACTTTTTCTTGTTGTTTCGGGCTCATGGAAAATCTTATGGTTCACTAAGACCAATCACATTATGAACAATAGTCTGGAGATTCATTTGCTTTCAAAATTATGAAAGACTATAAATTAACCCTCCCCCTGACACACACACACACACACACACACACACACACACACGCGTTTCACACATTTGACCTCAACAGCTAATTCCATATCTGGAGCGTGACACATCACTACTGTTTTGAGACTAAATAATAAATTATCCCCGAAATGGTCTTACTACAACTAGCCACCCAAACGTCTCGCGCTGCTGCCAAGCCTTGATAATTTTGCTCCAGGCTTGACAAGAAAACATTTTTCCAATCCTGCTTAGCAATGGCCACGGGAGCACACATTCCTTTCATTTAACTTCTCATGAGTAATTCCACCGAAATCAGCATCGAGACGAAATTACTTTGATCTCATCTGCCGTTTTCGCTGCGATTAAGTCAAGTAGCATCCAACGTTTTCCATCTGTCAAAGTAAATTCTGCAGTGGTTTGCCATATAATGAGATTTTCTACTATTATCAAACCGTATCATCTTAAGTGGCGTGAAACACGAGTTCGGCAGTAACATTGTCCCTTTTGTTCACGATATTTGCAAGCGACACTATCACAAAGTAAACGCTTTTAATAAGCCAACTCTTGGCCAAGTAGTGCGGTAGCAGACAAGATCGCGGTCTGAAAGCTCCACCCGTCTGCTCTCAAAAGAGGAAGAGGGGAGGGAGGAGAGATGGGTGCTGGGAGCGCTGTAGGGGGTGACTTGCTTTAGATTTCACAGATACAGCTGTGGTGGTTACAGTGATAATCTCTCCCCCTCCTGCTTAATTCCCTCATACTGTCCTACATTAGCAGAGCAAGAGGCCGGGAGATCCTTGCATTTATAAATAGGTCTACACTTTGCAAAGGGGATTACTATATGGCATATAGCTGAACCTCTTTGTTTGCTTGGTATAATAACATTTTCCTACGGATTCAGTGTCCCCCCCCCCACCCCCTTGTTGGTGAACAATGGGGTCTGATTGAGTGCGTTGCATGGGCTCAATTGCAGCCCAAACGCGCATGTCGCGTGGCCTGTTCAGTGTTTGCATATCACCTTGCCGGTGTGCTCTGCCGTTCCCATAGAGAAGGAACGCAGAGAGATCAAGTTTCTGGACGGCTTCCAGGCCTGACTCGACTGCAGGTGGTTTTATCGGCATCAAAGTAGGATACAGTGAGAGGAATTCCTGTAGATTCAAATGATATTTTCATCCGATAATTTTCTTCCTGTTGGCTCCAAAAGCATTAAAAATATAAAGCATACTTCAAGATTTCCAGTGTTGTAATTTAATCTAAAATTAATTGGAATCTCTGTGAAGTTAATTAGTTTCAGCTTAAATCTGCCTGAAGCAAAAGCTTTGTCCAAACCACCGGGGTCATCAGGCTGACATGCCAGAAATATCCAGCTCTGCTTTCTTCCTGAATTCATTATTATCATCGCTGTATCCAAACAGAAGGGCGTAAACATGATGCTGACTATTTTGCAGTCGGCTGATTTGGTCTATTCGGCCCCTTTTATTCCTGGAACTGAACCCTGGTGTTTTTTTTTCTTCTTGTTTCCTTGTGCTCATCCTCATCTGCTAATTGAAGAGAGAGAGGAGCACAAGGTGGTGGTTTTGAAATCAACAAGGACACTGACCCTACGTGTTGGATTGTAAATATGAAAACGCAGCAGGACCTCAAATGCCAAGCTGATTTTACTTACGTGGTATCACTGCTAAGTAAAAATGTCATGACTCATAGAGTTTACAATTTTTATTTTTATTTTATTTTGTTTTCTTTCAATTTGTGTTAGATAAGTGTTTATAACGTGTTTGTTTAATTAATTTGTTGCTATGCTTTTGCGCAAGCTTTGTACTAACTGGACTCCAGCTTTGCATTCTTTTAAATGTGCCATTACACTTCCACCCTGTTCTCCCAGACAGCCCCCGTCCGGCTCTATTGAGACTGTATTGTCCCTGAAAAATTCATCATCTGTCAGACCGCTTCAGTGTGCAGCCACACACTGATGCCCAAACAGTGGTGGTTTGCGCTCAAAGTGCTTGTCCGTTCCCATACATGGATGGCTTCGGCCACCACATTTGGCCTCTGAGCACAGACGTTTCTGCTTCTTTGGTTGCAACCAATAGAGACACTTGAATCCCAGGTTGTTTTTCACTGTGACAGCAGTGCTGGGACAATCCTGCTACTCTTTTCCATTCTTTAACACAGTAACTCTCTGTGTTCAGTCAAATACTTTGATCCGTCTCTTTTCCTTCCGACCTGCAACCAAACAATTGGTTGGGTGGAGATGTAGCTCCAAATGCAAAATTGCACAAAATCTTCTTCACCTTAAAATGCTGCAAGTGGAAATCAACGGAGCATTGTGCAAAATTCAGGTTTTGTATTATGCCGTGGAATTTAGTCATTTGATGATGCATTGCTTCCTGATACAGAAGAACTTGCAACATCACAGCTGAGTGGGAAGTCATGAATGAATGCTTCAAAGAATACACTTCTTGCACATTTTGTTCATCTCATATTCTCAGCCCATATGTTAGAAAAGAAGAAATGACCAAGCACGAAAACAGAGGTCTCGACAAGAAGCTCTGTGCTTGATCAACAGCCAGACGCCGTAACTGTCAGAGCGGAATTTAACATCCAGTTTTTAAAGAAGAGCTTGCACTCGGCTCAGTGTTGTTATCCTTATTTACCTCAAAATATCTCCACGCGGCCGACATGGCTTCTTCCTGGACGCACAATGTCAGGCTGGTGAAGTGGTATCAGTGTCGTCGTATCGGACGACGTCACAGACATGTACCTTGGATGTCATGGGCACAATCACTCTTATGTAACTTCAAAGAGATAAAAAGGTTCCATGTGCTCAGTTCATTGTGACCCGCAAGGGAGAGATATGTATTGTAGTTTTCAGGAAGGGGAGGGAGTTATACATATTTCTGGGTTCAAAGTGGAGTGTCCGATATACTTGAAAGAGTTGAAAAGGAGCAGCCGACTGCCCGATGTGAAAACTGTCAGTTTTGTTTTTTGGAGAGTAAAAGACACCCAACTTGCCTTTGTTCTCCTTATCACATCTCCAACATCTTGTTTTCTTTATCGCTTGCTTCAACCAAATGACCTATTGATATTGTTAGTGTTAGGACGGTTGGAGGTGTCCCTTTTACGCCTGCTTTAAAAAGAAATGCTCTTTTTCATCCTTTTTCTCCCATGTCACACTATAATTGAGTATTTAAATGCATCACGTCAGATGCTGGAGCTCTGAATGTTATAAAATCTGTCTGATCGTGGCCTGTGGAAAAGCAAAGCCAGTTGCAGCACTGTTCAGGTAAATTCTGACATTTATGGCATTTCTGTGGGATTTCTGCATAAGAGACTAAGTTGAGGGTTGGGAAAACCGTGTCATCCCCCCTGAGCAATGGAAAGGTGGTGCCTGACAGTGGGGGGTCGCAGCATTGTCAGAAAGGCAAGCTGTCATCTCTCCAGCAGATCTTGGGTTTAGGTCATGGCCCATCTTTGAAGCTCTCCCCAGCCCAGTCCGCAACTAAGCTACCAATCTCCCAACCCTAGAGAGCACAATAGCAACACATGCAGCAATCAATGTGGATCATCTATCTAATGAAACAGTCAACAGGGCTTAGTCTGTTTCGCTTCGCGCCTCCTTTCCACCAAATTGAACGATTAGGTATGGCTGGCGTTTTATTGCAGTTTCAATCGTAAAGGGTCCCGAAATGACTGACGTGAACGTTTCCCGCTTTTCAGTGTTCAGTCACTGGGGTTCCATCCAGTCACGGTGTCGTCTGTCGATTGATTAATCGACAGTTGTCTGCCTGCCTGCCATGTTACAGTGGAACAAATTGATTCGAAAGAACAGAAAGAGTGTAACACAAAAAAGGCAAATAGGTGCCATTGAGATCATGCGGAGGATCAGGAAGTTCGATTCAGAACGCACTGCTTGTCGTTGAAAACTGCACGTCTACTCAGGATTTACGTGACGGTCAACGTCATACTTTGGCTAGTTGAACTGAACGTTCTAAAAAATGTGGCTATAGTGGTAATACATTGGAAAGCAGTCCTGAAACTTGACTTCGGAGGGTGTTCTTGTGGCTTTTTTTTTTTTTTTCCTCATGCGAATTTGGAAGCCAACTGGAACACAACAGTCGCCCTCGGAGATATATATTATGTGGCTGTTCGGGGAACCCTCGCATGAGCCATGCAAATTAGACCCCAATGCATTTCTCACCATTTCCGTCCTTCTTTATCAACCTCATGTAATCTGATACAGCGCAACACAAGGGCCCCTCCTCCGAGACAGCTCGCATTTCCTTTGATTCACAATAGATTGTGCTACACGCTATTTTCCAGCCGCCGACTTGCTTCTATTGGCCACAGTCATTCAATTTTCAGTAGCGCACTGAATTAACTGACAGAAAGGACTGCTTACTTTATTCACTGGTGTGCTCGCTCTGCTCGACCGTGTTGCCGGGAATGTTTCCAGATCACCCAAAGAAGGGGAGCGAGTGTTGCTGCATCTGCCACTTTTAGACGCATTTAATTTGTGTGTTGCACAACCGTGCATCAGAATGTCATTTTCCATTCTTTCGCTGAGCTTTTGGCTTCGTGCTCTTGCTGTCTTCTGGTTTCCATCATCTGTCTGTTATCGTCAAAAGTTCCAAAAAAAAAATGCTCTCGCACAGTGTTTTTATAAGATTAAGGCCAGAAATTGTGAAACAAGCCCATCACACGACGCCCCCGAAATTGTGTCTCCGAAGGTTTTCTGTCTATCAACATTTGCTAGAGTGCAGCCTTTTCGAATAAATGTCTCCTCTTGGATCCAGCACTGGTGTTAGGTAATTTCGACCACTTCCTGTCACCCGTCTCAATGAATCCATTAACTGTGCATCACTTCACATCCTCCCATATTGATTTGTAACAAACATCTATCCAGCCGACCCCTTCTTGGTCCATTATAATGCCGAAACTCCTGTTGCGCTTGAGTTGGTCATACAGTGATCCCTCGCTTATCGCGGTTAATGGCGACCAGAACCCCTCGCGAAAGAGGAAAATCCATGAAGTAGCCCCCGGTACAGGTATATGTACATGTGTATGAGTATATATAAAATTTATCAGGCCAAATTTAATGGTATACATGAATGTAGAAGTAAGTGTTTGTAGTAAATAACAAAATACAGTAAACATAAACATGTAGTACTGTATATGTTGCTCTATGTGACCCGCTGTTGTTTTGCTGACTTTCGCTGCCTCTCGCGGACCTTTTGCGACATTTTCGCTTTTTTTTTTTTTTAAATGAATATTTTTGAATAATCCGCAATGCACTGAATCTGCAATAAGTGAACCGCGAAGTAGCAAGGGATCACTGTACTGTATGTGTCTTTGGGACTAGGGAGGTTTGTGGCGTGTAAAGATGCATTCTCCCTAGAGAACTGATGCAGTCTGCTCCAGCCTGTTGCCGTGTTGAGAGGACCGGACTGTGTGAGTGCGTGCTGTCTTCTTGGAAACAGTTTAAAGTAAGAGATCTTTGTATGCCGGCTACTGTATGGGTCAGGAGTCGCGTGTTTGTGGAGCCAGACGACATGTCTGATACTTGATCTGTTTTTGTGCAGATGGTGAACGCATTACCGATGTGTGGTAATAATCTGCTTTATTTGCATGTCGCCGTAAGCATGACATTAGCAAGTCTGTTAAAAACCAAGGCCAAACAAACAAGGCACCTTATTGGTTAATATGAGTGTGGTTTGTTGTTGCGATCAGAGAAAAGTCTGTTGTACAAAGTCCTTTGGACAAAACTTTTGAAGTCTGAAAATGCAAACATTTGGAAATAAAAGTGAAACTGAAACAACACTATTGAATGAGATGTAAATTCATCCGCACAAACGGAGGAGAATGTGCATGTAGCCCGTGTTGCTACCGTGTAAAATTCTAAACCCACATAGAAGCCCACAAAGATCATTTGAAATGCCACGTTAATGGCAGTTTCTTTATTGACTGCAGCCACGGTGTGCATGTTAAAGCATTTTGTATTTCAATGTTGCTTTTTGCAGGTCCTCATGAGCCGGGATCTTTCTGTATGCGATCAAAAGCTCAAAGGAAGAACTTTGTCTGTCTTACTAGATTGTTGTTGTGTTTTGTTTTGTTTTTTTCTTTATATCAATGCATGCTACTCTGTCTAATATCAAATGTGGTTTGATTGCCCTAAAAAATAATGTTGGGTACCTGTTATGCTTTGTTGTATTTTACCGGCTTTGTAAAGAAACCAAAAGTTGCTCGTTACGCTCAGCTGAAGTAAAACTGTCCCGTACATATTTAGAATGGCATCGCTTGCTTTCTCAAGCAAATCACCAACAATGTACCACCCACTATGTTGAACTTAATACTAAGTTTAAAAGTCAAATCTAAGACATGCCTGAAAAAGGATTGAACAGCGGAGGCGACAATACTGTCCAAGTGCCGTCTTTATTTTCGCCCATTCTTGCCAAGACCGTAGGAGTGTGAAGAGCAAATCATTGCAGTATGTATGTTGGGATCCACTGTGAAGTCGAAGCAGCATTCATCTCCAACCCCCCGGGCCTCCTGCCCGAGCTGATTCATTCCTGCTGTGACAGAAAGAAGCGCTTAGACCAGCAGAGTCCAAATCTGGCTCACTGGAATGTCTTTTATAAGTACACTCGGTGTGGAAATCAAACACATTTGTTTCCTATCTATGAGACTTTCATGGTTAATTGTCAGCGCTTGAGCGAGGCCTTCCAGTAAGCTTTTAGGTGTATTATTCCTAATCATTCCACACGTACACCCCCCCCCCCCACGCGCTGCTGCCACACCCCTGTTGAGAGCTTGTCACCACTGGGGAGTGGGGAGACACTCCCTGTCGAGCATGCCTGAGTGATGGGCGAGCAGTAAATTGAGCATTTTCCATTGTTACCCAAGTGTCTTCATAAATTCATGAGCGAGTCGTTGAGATAAATTTAGGAAGTGAGGTTTGAGGAGGTTGAAGAACATGAGCACTGCACACTCTGAATATGTTATGTCTGTGTGGAATGTCACGGTAGCGTTTTAGCAGCGCTGCCCAACAATGCAAGCCAAGCGTTGCTGTTGCAACTTGTTTCACCTGCAGCTTTCACTTAACATCTGCCTCGCTTTTACGCTCCACTGAGAAAGGAGGCCCTCATCCCGTGCTGTCATTGGAGGACATTGCTCAACGAGATAGTGGGCGTTTTCCTTCGAAGCAGAGCGTGTTGCTTGGGTATTGCTGTGTAAGTATGCATTTGCAGTCATGTAGCTGATGGCGCAATATACAGTAAAGAGTGAAATGAGGCATCACTTATTAACTGGAAGAGAGCAAAGTCCTCTGAGAAGTACACGAGAAAAAAACTTGAACTCTGATTTTGTTATTGTTGTTTTGTTTTTTTAGCTTGGGTCACGAGAATTTGTGGGCAGCAAATAAGAACCCCCCCCCCCTCCTATCCACATGCAAGCAAGCCCTTCTTGAGCCATCAGATGGGTCAGCAGATAAAATCCCCACCGCGGACCACTGGCCATGCATAGTTTTGGTTACCTAGGTGATATGCGGGTGTGTCGCTGCATTGCAACAGTTCAGTGAACCCACTGACTCGCCCTGGGAAAGAAAAAAAAAAGACTAAACTCTGGCCCGCATTTACAGGAAACTTGTTGTGTTGTGTCCGCTGCGGTTTATCAGTAAAATGTTTATGTGGACGCATATCTCTGGCTTGATAAACAGACTTTGGTCAGTTACCACCAAATGGGCAAGAGGCCACACCCAGTACAAGTGATTTATACTCGCATGAGTCATTGCTTTATCATGTAGCATGTTCCTGCAAGCAGTCAAGAAGCCTGGTTAGGCAGGATCGACAGCTCTACGCACACAACTGCTGAGACAGTGCTCCGGGCAACTGGATTCCACACGGAGAAAACACATTTGTAGACTATCACAAATTGTGAGAGTGCTATGAAACCCACGTAAAGTTTGATACCTGAGGAAAAGACATGTCTTCATTACCCCAAGCCTGGGCAAAATGCTACCTTTGCTTTTGTTTGTACAGTAGGCCTACACACTCCGTCAAATATTGTTTCGGTATGAATTTGTACACAGATGCAGTGCACATGTGGCGATGGGTTTGTTTGTTTGTTTGTTTTTTTTAACACATTGTGGTAAACATTTCAATGTAATTTTGCATCCTCTCACTTCTCAGTCAAAGGCTTGTGAAGTTGCGTCCATTCAAGCAACTACTTTTCTATGTACAATGCTAACATGCAATGCTCAAGAGTCAAAGACGAAACAGCACAGTGGCTGCATTGTGTTATCAGTCAGATGTCTGAGACGGATTGCGATTAAAAATGCAGATGTTTCTGTGATGAGCGAGGACTGTGGTGGATAATGCCGCAGCTGCAGAAATGGTCTGCAGGAAAACATTCCTTCAAGCGTGCTATTTTTGGTTGAGTCTTGGAAAAAAAACATCTTTCATATGATTAAAGAAAACAGTAGGATGGTATTAAGTACCTTGTGTATGTCGAGGCCCAGGGAAATGGAGAAAGAGTAACAAATTTGATCATGCTGTTATTGTACTGCTACTCCCAAGAAGGATCTGAAAAGGGTGATTTGTAAAGACGGAAAGTTTTTTACATCAGACAAGCGCTGACAAATGTCTGTTACATCATCTGGAGTGCTGATGAAGCCGGAGAAGTCTGATCACTTGTTGTCTGGCGAGCTATTTCTGTCTATTAGTCGTTTATGAACAATAAGTTGCAGGCATTTGTGAGACAAAGTTGGGTGTGACACTAACAACCGCATCACCCGTTTCACTTACTGTCGCTTCACATGCACACATGTGCACACTGTGATCCAAAACCAGTAGGACAGGTTCCAGTTTGTGATGTGTCAGCAATCGGCGGTTCCCACAACTTTTTGGGCGTAGGCCTGAGGTGAAAGGTCAGCAGAGCCGGCTAGCATTCCTAATTTGCAGAAGCCTCTAATCTTTATCCCTCCTATGCCACTCTCATCCCCACATGATTTGCCGTTGTTAGCTGAAGGTGCAGACTTTCTTTCTAGCATCCAAATACACTCTCTTACACCCATGTTTGAAAATAGCAACAAAAAAAAAAGAAAGACCCATGTGCTTGCAACACGGATAAGATAAAGCGTATCGTCATTCATTCAGAACAAGTACTTCATATCTAAAATTGGTCTGGTTTTTTTTTCCTTCAGGTTTTTGACTACAGGAGGCCAGGATGTCCATGCAATGTAAGTCTCATTTTGAATTATTGCCATCTTGTTTCTGTGTGTGTGTGTGTGTGTGTGCGTGTGTGCGTGTGTGCGTGTGTGTGTCCAAATACGTCATTCATTTTTGTGTCTTCCCATCAGTGCAACTCTTTGATGAGGCTCTATATCAAATATTGACGATGGTGGTAACAATGCGCCTTCCAATTCATGTTGTCATTCATTTAGCTTCACAATAGAAACGAAGAAGAAAAGATGCTTTAACAAAATGTCAGTCTGCGGTTGATTGCATTGCAGCAAAATGGAGGAACGCAAAATTCAATCGGGCGCAGAGGGATAAGAAACATTTCAGAATGATTTAAGCTACAAGAGAAGACTTTGGTCTGACATTGGGCGCCTCCTGTTTGTGTCTGTGACAGTGGGTGAGCTCGATAGCGGGGTGACGAAGGTGACTGAGTGGCAGGAGACGAGGTACGCATATGATTCGGGGATCCAGTCTGGAGCCAACACTGTCAGAGATGATGACGGTGACTTAACCACATCCAAGCAGTACACCGTGACCACCACCGTCACAGCAGAACCGCCAGGTATGACACAAAAAGGTCCAATCGTCCGGTGTAGTCTGTTGGCTATTTACACGATGAGCGTCATCACTCATTTCCAGACTCCCAGTACGTGTTGACCAGAGGCCAGCGGGTGCGGGCCGCCATGTTTCCAGAGACGCTGGAGGACAGCACGACCATCTTGACTACAACCCAAACAGATCCGTCCCAGCTGACCAACGTCCAACGGCTGGCGGAGCCCTCCCAGATGCTGAAGGCAGCAATCATTCATCTGATCAACTACCAAGATGACGCTGAGCTCGCCACACGTGCTGTGCCTGAGCTCACCAAACTGCTCAATGATGAAGATCAGGTACGTATTTCTTGCCAGGTGTCTTTAACTTTTTCTGCTCAAATTCGGGAACCACTCAGGTCTCTTCTCCTCCCTCATACGCCATTCAAACTATAGACTTGCATGCACAGTAATTTAAGTGTCATTGTTTGGGGCCGTGAGCCAAAATGTAATCTATGAGCGAGCATCCACTGCTCAAGTGAAGTGAAAAAGAAGTAGAGCAATTCAGGTTTTGTAATGACTTCTTATGTGGACAAGGAGAGTCAAGGTCACTGAAAGGGACAAATGTGTGTCGGCCAATTCATGCCGATTTTATTTTAAAAACAAACACAATGCGTGAGTTTTCTCCGGGTACTCCGGTTTCCTCCCACCTTCCAAAAACATGCATGGTAGGCTAATTGAGGTGTGAGTGTGAGCGTGGATCCTTGTTTGTCTCTGTGTGCCCTGTGATTGGCTGGCAACCGGTTCAGGGTGTCCCCCACCTACTGCCTGAAGATGGCTGGGATAGACTCCAGCACGCCCCGCGACCCTTGTGAGGATAAGAGGATTAGAAAATGGGTGGAAGAAAAACATACTGTTAGTAAAAATTCAGCAACATCAAGCTACATATTCAATTTTATGACATGCACTCAAGCTACATGATAAACCGTAATCACAAATGTCGTCATCGACATGTACTTTCCGAGTTGCGAGCTACTATGGATCCTTTTTGCGATTCTCATTCACATCAAGAAATTGATGTAGAACACTTTTAATCTTGGCAACGCTGCCTCTCACGACCGCTGCATGTTTTCCATCTCAGCCTTGATGTAACACGGGATCAAATGAGAAAAGCCATCGCTTTTAGCAGCTGTCAGTCGACAGTAGTGTGCTGTGCTAGCAGTCTACTCACGACTATAGCTGATCATCGCCCAATTTGGTGCCCCTCCTCGCCCTTATGGTGAATCGCTGTTCCTGTTTAATTGTTATTCCACCAACGCAATGTTAACCAGAGTACTGTGTTTTGGCTAGTGCTGGCACACAATGTATTCTGCTTTAAAGTCATCTCAACTCATTTGTATTTCTAGAGCACTTTAAAACACCCATCACTGCATACAAAGTGCTGTACATGCAGCAAGAATTCTCATAACAGAGAAAGTGAAACAATAAATGAACAACATAAAAACAATAAACACCACAAAATATTAAAACAATGACGAGTCTCATTTTGAGTCAAAAACTGTTTTAAGACCTGTTTTAAAATGGACAGAGAAGGGCCTGACCTAACCTTTAACGGAAGGTCATTGCAAAGAGAAGAACCAGCAACGGAAAAAGCACAATCCTCTCTGAACGTATATTTAGTCCTCGCTACCTCCAGTAGGATCTGCTCCGCAGGCGGGCGATACCAAGCAAGTGCGCAGCAGTGAAGGAGCTTAGTGAGGTAAGGTGGGGCGAGGCCAATTAAAGATCTAACCTTTTGGGTTTAGTTCCACTTTAAAGGCTCACATACAACAACACTAAAGTGTCACTTTCAGCTTCTCACCAGGTAGAGTAATAACACTCTCGAAAACCAGTTCAGTTTGTCTTCACAATCTCACCCCCCCCCCCAAACTGAAACCATATTGATGGAATTTCAGTTTATTGATATGATGTACGAGAAAACTGCAGTACCCGGATAGAACCCGCTCAGGCGTGAGGAGGACATGCAAACTCCACACAAGGAGGCCGCAGCCCAGATTTGAACCCACGACTTCTTAACTGTGCTGCTGCGTAGCCAACCGGTCAAATAACGGAAAAATGTCACGTTTCCTTTTTTCTCTTCATCACATTTTGTGGTTTTTCAAATAAGATGTTTTGTTTTACCAGGAAAAAAAACTATCTGTGCGTGTGTGTGTAAATGGAACTATTTTAATCCTACGAAAGGGCAGCAATGTCATCAAGAAATGTTTTTCAAAAAACACAGAAATGCAAAGTGTCGTTTAAACACCCATTAAAAGAGAGAATAACGTAAATATCCACTAAAAAAGGCAGAAACTGTATTTTGATGTCTGAAACTGAAAAAAGAAAGCCTGGGAAAGAACTTGAAGCAACATAGGCACCATGACACGGTCCAGACCCAGACCACGGTCCGCCATTTTAAAAATGGCCCCTCTGTTGCCTTGCAGTCTTTTAATTTCTCACGTCAACCAATGGGAATACTTGTCTTTCCATCAGGTGGTGGTCAGCAAGGCAGCGCAGATTGTCAACCAGCTCACGCGCAAGGAGGCCTCCCGCCATGCGCTGATGCAGTCGCCTCAGGTGGTGTCTGCAGTGGTGCGAGCCATGCAGAACACCAACGACATGGAGACCGCCAGGGCCACCGCCAGCATCCTCCACAATCTCTCTCACAAAAGGGAGGGCCTGCTCTCCATTTTCAAGTCCGGTGGCATCCCCGCGCTTGTCCGCATGCTCAGGTACTTCCGGTCGCCGTCATCCCGCATTTGACACCATTAGCGGATCAGCCCAAACAGTTCCTGTTCTTCAAAAGCTTGTGTCGACGACTTGTGTGACGCATGCATGTACAAACTTTCCTTGCACCTTAGAGTGTCCTCTTTCTGGGCAGAACGTTAGGACACTGTTGCTTGACACATTTAGCTTCTCGCTATTTTTACTATTCAAATGCGCGCTCTGATTTGTATTCCTCACAATGGCTTCTGGCTAAATTGCAACCTGACATTTGTAGGTCAGCTGTTCCTTACTCGTACTTTATCCCTCTGCGATGCCCCTCAGCTCTCCCGTGGAGTCGGTGCTCTTTTACGCCATCACAACCCTCCACAACCTGCTCCTGCATCAGGAGGGAGCCAAAATGGCCGTCCGTTTGGCTGACGGCCTGCAGAGGATGGTGCCCCTTCTGAAGAAAAGCAACCCCAAGTTTTTGGCCATCACTACAGACTGTCTGCAGCTGCTGTCTTATGGCAATCAGGAGAGCAAGGTGTGTTTGTGTGTGTGTGTGTGTGTGTGTGTGCGCACAGCATGGCGCAAGTCCACATTGTATAAAAGCAAGACTTCACCCCTGTCGAGCACCGCACTTTGTCCTTCGTGTGTACAGAATGCATGGTTTGATTTGGGTGTGCCATCGGTACACAGTTCAGGACAGTCAGGTTTGGGTGTGGTTATTAGAATCAAGTGTGTAATTATTTCACATGCTTCGACATGCTTCGACATGTCATAGCTATATTCAAAGTCTACACGCTGCATTCCTTAAACAGCCTTGTCCTTAAAAGTGTAGTTTTATTTTCTCAATATGAACCCCATGTCTCTTCGCATATTCCAATCCATCCATCCGTCTATCTGTCTAGCCATGTATTTACTTTGGCTCCATCACAGCTCATCATCCTTGCCAACGGGGGTCCAGAGGGTCTTGTTCACATCATGAGGAACTACAACTACGAAAAGCTGCTGTGGACCACAAGCCGTGTCCTCAAAGTGCTCTCTGTGTGCCCCAGCAACAAACCTGCCATTGTAGAAGCTGGTGTGTGAGAAATGTCTATACTGTGTACACACGCACGCACACACACACACGCACACACACACACACACACACACACACCTACCTGTGTGCATAAGCCAGTCATGCAGGTGTGGCGACTCTTTGTCAACGGAGCCGTGGGTAATGGCTGTTTTCTCATGAGCCGCAACGTTCCACGACAGCATGATGATGTGGTTGTGGGCTGATGCATTCCCGTGTTTCCTCCAGGTGGGATGCAGGCTCTGGGCAAACACCTGACCGGCAGTAGCCAGCGTCTGATGCAAAACTGCCTCTGGACACTCCGGAACCTGTCTGATGCTGCCACCAAGCAGGTGTGTTTTCTCTTTCAGGGTAATGTTCGCCCTTACAGAGGCTGCCTGAGGATTAAGCGAATTAAGCACCTGCTTAAGGCACCAACAGGGCCCCATCACCATTACGGGGCCCACACAAACATAACAGTCAGTTAAGACCAGCGCAGTATTGATTCATTTTTAGTTTTTGGAGTCGTTTTGAGGAAGACTGAGTAAAATAAAAGTTAAATGTTTAGATTAAAGTTGTTAATTGCGATTAAAACTTTACAAACTAAAGGGAAAACTGTGCCCCTAGCAGATAATCCATGAATTGCATCTTATTAAAAATATTAATTCCGTGTCTTTTATGCATTTTTTCACTTTTAAATTATCCTGCGGGCCTGGTCAAATCTCGTAGCAGGCCCGTTCCGGCCCTCAGGCCATAGGTTTGACACCCCTGATCTAGGTGCTACATAGATAGATATTGCTAAAGTCTTTATAGTTCTTCACGTGCCAATCTATCGCTCTGTTGTATTTCAGGAGGGAATGGACAGCCTGCTGCAGGTGTTGGTCAACCTGCTGAGCTCCGATGACATCAACATGCTCACCTGTGCCACCGGGATCTTGTCTAATCTCACATGCAACAACGCCTACAATAAAACTCTGGTCACCCAGAGCAATGGCATTGAGGCGCTGATCCACGCCATACTGCGCGCCGGCGAGAAAGAGGATGTGACCGAGCCTGCCATTTGCGCTTTGCGTCACCTGACGTCCCGCCACCAGCAGGCCGAGATGGCACAGCACGCTGTGAGGAGGCACTACGGCATACCGGCCATCGTCAAGCTGCTCAACCAGCCATACTACTGGCCAGTTATCAAGGTATAGTGGGTGGGGCTGATCGTGAGGTAGTTTGGGCAGGCGGTGTGGAAAAATGACGATGTACCGTAGCTAATCAAGAGCTTGGTAAACTTAAGGTAACACTGTCGATGATAGAGAATATTAGATACACAAGACATATAGAGTTCAGGTTTTGGTCTAAGCAGTTTCAAGGGAAGGAATTTCTAGGACCAGGTGGAAATGTTGTATTGCGCCGGGAAGTATATAAGCGCCTTGTTTTTCCACACTGAGCGGTGGTGTGACTTGTTCATTTGTTTTTCCTGCCCTGAAGGCTGTGGTCGGCCTGATCCGTAACCTGGCGCTGTGCCCGGACAACCAGGCCCCACTGAGGGACTCGGGCGCCATCCCCCGCCTGGTCAACCTGTTGCTGAAAGCCCACCAGGATGCCCAGAAACATGGCTCGTCCAACCAGCAGACATACCAGGTAAGTATTTTAGTGGCGCCACATGCCGCGCATGACGATTTATGTGTTTGTACATCTATGTTAATCTCTCGTCATGTGTGTGGTCAGGATGGAGTGAGGATGGAGGAGATAGTGGAAGGCTGTACAGGAGCTCTGCACATCCTGGCCAGAGACCCTGTCAACAGAGCAGAGATTGCCAACCTGCAAACCATTCCTCTTTTTGTTCAGGTACCAGAAGCCAAACACTTATTTTGTTGTTGTTGTTTTTTGCCACCGCCTTTGTCTTTTTTTTTTTTTTTGTGAGTTTAAAATGTCCTCCCCCCTGGGCAGCTTCTCTACTCGCCAGTAGACAATGTGAAGCGCGTGGCGGCGGGCGTTCTCTGCGAGCTGGCTCTGGACAAACAATCAGCTGAGGCCATCGATGGCGAGGGCGCGTCTTCTCCCCTGATGGAACTGCTGCACTCAGACAACGAGGGCATCGGTAGGACGCTCAACATTCAGCATCACGAATTGTTAGCATTTGTCGGTTTCAAACGACAATGCTTTCTTCAGCTTTTACTTACTGACTGAAATATGTAGACACTCTTCAAAGACAGCGCATACTGTACGTATGAAACACATGCCAAAATGCACTTGAACATCACCCAGTGCAATTGGTGATGTTAAAATGAAATAACCTTTGCACTCGAATACTCTTCTGTTAAAGTCAAATATGAACTTCAAGTCAGCGTACTGCATGTAAAGGATTGACAGGATGGAATGAACTAGCTTGCACAGCGGTGTAAGGATACATTGTCACCCTTCAGCAACTGGCGAAAGTGACAAGCAAATTTTTGTGTAGATTACTGATGGCCAGTGCCCCTTTTTGATTTGCGTACAAATTTGGGTTTTGTTGCCACCATAGGAACCGGATCTGTCGGAGGCAGCTTGTATTGACTCGGTCATGCAAACATGCTATAAACCTATCACAGGCGATAAAGCAGAGCCAGTGGAGCACCTTGGTTGAAGTCACCTTAATAGTCACATGAGTGTTCCCAACAAAACCAGACGTTGAGTGTGAACTGCTACTTTTTGATGTCCTCATCAGCCACATACGCTGCTGCGGTCCTCTTCCGCATCTCGGAGGACAAGAGCGCCGAGCACAAGAAGAGAGTTTCCAGGGAGCTCACACACTCCATGTTCAAGCACGACCCTGCCGCCTGGGAGATGGTGAGTGTCGAGCTGCCGCCGCTCGCACGGTGACTTATTGACTGGAGATGCTGAAGTCTTACCTTACCTAACCTTTCTGCAGGCCCACAACAGCGTCACCATGGAAGCACCCTACCAAGATGGTGAGGACATGTGACTGGAATGTGCACACACACAACGTATTAGTCAGCATTCACCGCAAGAGCAGCCCACACATCATCACTCTCAACATACAGTCACACAAGAGGCGATCTTCCAGGAAACAGACAGTCAGCAAATGTCAATTCTGCATCTGATTAGTCAGAAGGTCACTCTAGGATACATCCGTTACTCGTTCTGTCTTCACTCATCCACCGTTTCCATTTTTTCCTTCTCCGTCCTGAGTTGTTCGCTTTTGGGGACTTTCTAGCTCCGTTGTGTGCTCTCTTATGGAAATCTGTTCAGCATTTATTCGATATCCTTGATATGCAGCTTACAGTAAGTGCCATGTACTAGTACGTTACACTCTTTGTCCTCACCAGTGTACTAAGTAGAATGAATGTTTTTATTATTTGTTTTTCTTTTTCCCCCAATTACTGTCCTACTGTGTATAAATGTCATACAGTAGTGGAAGAAATATTCAGAGTAAGACAGTCATTCTTTTAGTAGACTATAAATTGTTTCACTAGTATGGACGAAGAGCATCCAATACTACTTTCTGAATGTATCACAAAAACAATAGCAGCAGCCGATGTCAAGATCAAGATGGCAAATGTGCTCTTGTCTTTGCAGAACTTGACGCTCCTTTTCAAAACTTCGGCGGCTACGCAGGTGACATTCCCATGGACACCGTGGACGCCAACTTGATGCATGACGATTTCGGCGGCAACATGGTCTACGACAGGCAACAGCAGTTTGAACCTTATTAAAAGGTCAGCACACCTCAGAAACGTGAAGCCAGCTGGACCATATGCCGTAAAGGTCGTTGGCATTATAATAACAGCGCACGCGTACTCAGCAGATCACTTCAATAGTAAATCATCTCTTCGAACATAAACATTACAGCACTGCTTTTGTATTAGAATGGTTTAGCAGCATGCTGTATCTTCATAGAGCAATTCTGAATTGCACCAAAAAAAAAATGAATCGGTGAGTTTTTTAACTGTGAGATTAACGGTGGATTGGTTTCTCCCAAAATTTGCAAACAGTTGAATTTGTATCAATTGTGGAGGGAAGGATGATGGTCAGAGGCCAAGAGGTACTACAGATTGGGAAGAAAATGACTAGCCGCCATTAATAGCTCTATTTTCTCTCATGGTGGCAGCACTTCATCAGTAAAAGCACCCAATTTCACTTTGTCAATTCGTGTAGCGGATTGGCACCTGTGGCGCATGCAGCAAACACATCGCCAAACACAGATACCCTACTTTGACAGCTTGGCTTAACATTAGACAATAACTACCTTATGTACTGGTTATCAGAAGCTAATGCTGATAACACTGTTAGCTAGCACTAACCTGTGCTAACAGCGCAGCCCTGCTTACCTTTTGACTTTGAAGCAGCTGATGAAAAGGGTGCATCGTTCAGCCAAAATGAGCAGAGAAAGTTAGTGTGGGGGCGTATAATACAGTATGTAAATTAGACAAATGGGAAATGGTGCAGATAACAAAAGATTCACTTTATGTGGTCAGATAATAAACAGAAATGACGATACGATTTCTGTAAAAAGCAATTTTGCATTATGTCCCCTTTAAAAGATCTCGCACAGCAATGATAGTCAGTTCACATAATATTTCCGAATTACCAATAACCAATTTTTTTACAGCCTCAGGAAGCTTTCAGGAACCATTGTCATCATCACACATTTTATCTTTCAGATTAAAGCCATTCACTTATTCATATTTTCATTCCCTGCATGTAGCATTTTGAAGCCGAATGAAAATATTTTTTTTCTTAAATAACCTCCCAAAATATGCTTTTCCCTCTTCTTAAGGTTTTGTTCTCATGCCATTTATTTCCTTTCCACAGATCCAAGAGAGAAGAAAGTTTCGGAAAAGTGGGGCGCTGGCCTAGAATGGAACAAGGGTCTTGATTCCTTTTATATGTAATATATGCAATTATCATTGAGTACGGGACTCCTAATCTTAACAGGGCTTGCATATGTTTGATATCCTAACATTGCTGAGGATCATTTACACACGCTTGAAAACGTTTCTAAGATTGCGTGTATGTGTGCGTAGAAGTTCAAGTGTGTTTCTGTGTGAGTGTTTCTGCTTTCTTTCGGGTGGGTAATCTATGCCAAAGAGATTTCATTTTGTGAAGATCACATAGATTGCTTTTTTTTTTTTTCTTTCTTAAAAAGAGGACTAGTTGACAACACTGCCGCAGGTGGAAAAGTGTGAACCTGCTCATCTTTCTTTTTGATGCTTTTTAAGAGTCGTTTTGACAATATCGCATCAACTTCGTCCCGCAAAGTGGTGCACGAGGTGCTCGAGTTTGCCACCCAGGCGGAGAACAAATTGGGGAAGGAGGACACGCCTTTAGGGAAAGGGGAGCAAACGAGATGCTTCTTTTTATGAGCTGTTTCTCACATTTTATTCTTTTATATTTTATGGGGAAAGGATTGCATACTTTGCTTAGCGAGAATAATAACACGTGTCAGTTTTAACCGAAAAGAAGAGCTTGTGTGTAACTCTTTACGATTTGATGTCAAAACTCTGATTGACGCATTGGTTCAACAGATTGACTGATTTCTTTTATGTGGATTTAATATAGTCGGGACGCCAGCTGGAGAAACACTACTGACAGGGAAATTTGTACTTACAAAGAGTTTTTACTGAAATTTTGTTAAATAAAATTAAAGGATATATTAAACCTACCTGTCCATGTTTTTTTTTTGTTTTTGTTGGGGAAAAAAATGAATTGCCCACACATTTACAACTAACGACAATTTATTGTCTGCATTACACCTGAAGCTGCAAGAGAACATGCAAACTCTACACAGCAAGGCCTGGGTCCAATTGGAGCCAAAGTCTGTAGCAAACTTGGTGAATATTAAAGGACAGAGGAGCAGTTGTTACATCATAACTGTGAGGTTTCATTGTCATCCATCATCATCATCATCATCATGTTCCAATGGAAAATACTCCAACACATGGCTTGTGTGACCGTGCACGTCATGCAGACACGATACGATCTGAAGAAACATCATGGCCACGTTATTGCATGATCTCACAGCCATCACTTATCTTACAATGTGTCCCATGTGTATCAAACATGCCAGGGTACACATCTGTGTTCTTAAGTGAAATGATCTTGAGAGTTATGTCCAAATGTATTTGCCTACAAATGATTAAGGGCCAGTTCACCTAGGACACATTTTTCCTTACGATAAGTTTTTTAGGGACCCCCCCACTGCGTTTTTGGTCTATGAACGAAGCAGCAGAATCCATATACCGACCGTATTGTTCTATTGAGCACTGCTTTCCATCGGTCTATGGATCACCTGGAGAACAGGAACGCGTGCTGCTGCTTGATTTTAGCTCTGCATTCAGTACCATAATCCCACAGGACCCTGATGTGTGGGTGAGTCCCCTCCTCTTACACCCTCATGACCCACAACAAAATTCAGCAGTCATGATGTCATTAAATATGCAAATGACAACAGTGGTGGGGCTCATTTAGAATGAGGATGACAAACATAGGAGACGAGGGGAGACTTTTGTGACTTGTGAAGACAACGCAAAAGATCTTTGGAGATACACTGCCAACCACGGATGAATTGGCACAGCAGCGTTGCCTGTCCAAGGCTTGTGATATTGGTGGAGACACCTCACACCCCTGTCATAAACTGTTTTCCCTCCTGCCTTCAGGAGCAACCGCAGCCTGAGGTGCAAAGCTGCCAGGTTTTTGAACAGTTTTTATCCGACCGCCATAAGACTGCTAAATATAAAAAGAGTGGGAACACGTGCAATAAACAATGTGCAAAGGCTCTCCGATAAGTGATCCTTTGTTCGGCTTGAATTCATTGCCTTTATTGATTATACATATGGATTGTTTTTTCATCTGTATTTTTAGAATCTATTCTGTTTTTATTTCGTGCTGTGCATAGTTTAACATTTCGTTCTGTGATAGCTGATAGGATTGATGTACATTAAGTTATCCCATATTTACTCTTATATTACTACAAAGCATTTATTCAGCGGTATGGCCTTGCGAGGCTTCACTGAGAGAGAGACGGCGAAGGACAACGTTGAAGGGGGGCCAGCTGGTTCCCAAGCTTGGACGAGATAAGCCATCAAGGAGTGGAGCTTGTTAGGCTGCACGGCTGTGTAAAAGAACTCGAACCCTTCCGAGCATACAAGAGTGCACCTATATTATATTCTTTGGATTGGAGACTTCACCAACACTCTCAGACTGAAATCAGATAAGCTCTGAAGAGTGGAAATGGCTACCTTGAGACGGCGCGCTCATGACGAGCTTGCACAAATGAGCTCATGAACTTCTACGAGCACAGGAGTGCATTGTTTTTGGCCAGACATCATCTTTCTGTGGATTTCATCAAGGGTTCGGACGTATGTGTGTGCTTCCCACTCCCTTCCCTTTAGAAGGTCATGTATTAGGCACCTCTTTTTTTTTCAATAAATTGAGGACTCTGCAGGTTGTATCTCAGAACGGGTCGGAGCTTGGAACCGGGTACAACCTGTCCGTTCTCTTGTCTTCCTTCCGTGTTTGTTGTTTATTAAATGTTGTAGGTCGACTAAACCTAACAATAGAATTTATCAGGGTTAAATTTGAGTCTGAGTCTGATATTATTGTAAGAAAATTTTCGGACCCTTTCGATTGGTAACCTATCAGGACAAACCCAGTTCCAATCCAGTTGGGACGTTGTGTTACACATAAAAACAAAATACAATGATACGCAAATCATATTCAATGTATATTTCATTGAATACATTGCAGCGTCTGTTATTTAATCTAACTGAAAAACGTCATTGTTTTGAACTAATAATCATTAACTTTGAATTTTAGGCCTGTAACATGCTCCCAAAAAATGCTGGGACACGTGGCAAAAAAGACTGAGAAAGTTGGGGAATGCTCATCAACCACCTGTTTGGAACATCCCACAGGTGAATGGGCTAACTTGGAACAGGTGAGTGCCAAGATTGGCTATACAAGGAGCTTCCCTGAATTGCTCAGTGATTCACAAGCAAAGATGGGACGAGGTTCACCTCGTTGTCAAAACAACTGCATGAGAAAATAAAAAAAACAGTTTCAGAAACACAACTGGCTGCTCTGGGCCCGAGCTCCTCGAAGATGAACTGATGCAAAGTGGAAAAGTGTTGTGTGGTCTGACGAGTCCATATTTCATCTTGTTTTTGGAAACTGTGGACGCCGTGTCCTCCGGGACAAAGAGAAAAAGAACCATCGGGACTGTTATGGATGTGAAATTGAAAAGCCAGCATCTGTGATGGTATGGGGCTGTGTTCATGCCAATGGCATCTGTGATTTCCACATCTGTGGAGGCGCCATTAACACCTAAAGGGACTTACAGGTATTGGCTCATCCAAGCAATGTCTTTTTCATGGACCCCCCTGCTTATTCCAACAAGACAATGCCAAACCACGTTTTGCAAATGTGACAACACTGTGGCTTCTTAGTGAAAACCATTTTTTTTTCAGTTTGAACATTAAATATCTAGTCTTTGCAGTGTATTCACTTAAATACAGCTTAGACATGATTTGCAAATCATTGTACTTTGTTTCTATTTATGTTGAACCCAACGTCCCAACTTGGTTTTGTAAATTCATAAAACAACAGGCCCACCATCCTGATTCAGTCTTGAACAGCTCCAACAAACCTTAAATGTATTTTCAATCAGAACAGAGTGATTTTATCACTCTGTGAGGTGACAGGTTGAAGTCCAACACGCACACACATGCACGCACACACTGCAGCGTTGAGGTGGAGCTCCAATTGGAGGAACGTTCGATGCCACCTTTAGATGACGTTGTCGAACATGTGCATGGACTGCATGATGTTCTCATCCTAGAAGGGAGGCACGGGTTATGCGCTCTTAATATGCTGCTGGAAATAAGGTTAAAAAAAAAAAATCCACCTTCTGGCACGTTTCCAAGAACTCATCGATGGTGACGACGCCATCTTTGTTCCTGTCCATTTTCTACAAGGCGACACATAATTAGCATTAATCTGATTCCTGTGCAGCAGTTTACAACTAAAAGCTTCTTTTTGGGTCCTGATTAATGTGAAGAGCTACCAGTCTCAGATACAGCGCTGACCTTTGAACTATGCCACTGTGCTGCCCAATATTTGTTCTGTATTTTTTTTCCAACCTGGAAGAAGCGTTCCACGTGGTCCTGGGGAGCGCTGTCCCTCATGCAGGGGTACGTATACTTGCCCATCATGTCATAAATGGAATGCATGATGTCTGTCATCTCCTGAGCAAAACAAGTCATCACCATAAGCTGTTAGTAAAACATGAACAGAAGAAAAAAAAGAAACTTTTAGTGAAGAGTGCCGACACCTCTCGAGTGATGCAACCGTCCTTGTTGAGGTCATACAGGTTGAAGGCCCAGTTGAGTTTATCTGTGACGGAGCCTCTGAGGATGATGGATAGACTTAAGACAAAGTCCTACGGCCCAGTAAAAACAAAAAACAAATGGGACAGAAAAGAGAGAAGTGAAGGCTATATTTCTGATACACATGAACCCAAAATGGACTTTACATTTGTTTCTTTTCTAAACCACACCCCGCATCAAGTCACGCAAGCTAGAAGTGTTGAGATGTTATGACACAATTGATACGCTGCCTAGAGCAGTCAACCTTTTGTTGTGTGTTTTACCTCAAAGCTGACAGATCCGCTTTTGTGAGTGTCAAAAGCCTCAAACAGGAAATGTGCATACATACTTGTATCTGGAAGAGGAACATTTTATATGAGCGCTATGCAGATTTACAAAAAGTAACCACATATCAGACATTTAAGAGCTCTCCTATCACCAGTGGAGCAGTTTTGTTAGCACTAGCATCAATGCTAGTGTTACTGTTCAGATTTGTGGACGGTGAGTAACAACAATTTAGGTAGGAGAGGGTTTAAGTTTAACCATGATCGTCTTAGTTTTATCGTGAACTCTCTATTTGGTGAGAGTAAACAGCTCTGTCACTGACTCCTCTTTGTACTCTGTGACAGCATTCATCTAAGTGTTATGGAATGTGTTGTTATTATTTTGTATTTTCCTAATGGCGTGTTTGGCGCAAAAAAGAAAACACTGCTCATCACCAATAGTAAATTATAGTGGTGGTGGCAGCGTCAGGCCTCGGGGCTGTTTTTCCTCAGCTGGAACTGGGGCCCGTGACAGGGTGGAAAGAATTATGAACAATTCCAAACAGCAGTCAGTGTTTGAGCATAAAATGGCAAGCTTCTGCTTGAAAGCAATGTCAGGAAAAGCATACGAGAACGTCGGAAATTGATTTGGCGTTAACGCTTTAAAAAGTGACAGTTGTGTGCTGACTCCTGTTGAGCATGAGTTTGAATGTGGCAGTCGTACAGGTTACAGGTCACATTAATGGTGGGAAAAGTTTTGAAATTGTTTGTCTTCATCTCTTTTTTTTTTTTTTAAATGTGGCATTTGAACAGGGGTGTGCACATATTTTGTCCACTGTAAATGTGCAACGTCAACTGACGTTTTTGCTCAAGGGCACCTTTGAATTTATAAAACGGACAGATGAGCCACATCATCCAAAAAAAAAAAAAAAAAAGTTAATGTGTATGCAAAAAATAAAAGGAAAATATTGTATTTTAATAGCGGAATAATTATTTTGTTAATTATAATTAATAAATCAAAGATTTCACAAAATTAAAAAGTAAAATGGATTTGTTTTTATTTTACTGTTTACAATACATCAATCAACCAATTGTTCTAATTAGATAAATGAATAAAATAGATTTTTTGAATACATTTTTAGGAAACATGATCCCCCAACAACACGTGTGGGGTCTCAAATTTCAAAAATCAGCTTCCACACCCATCCACACAATGTTTTTTTTTTTTTTATCACAAGATGGGGTTTCCCAAACTCCCACGTTAGTTTACAATTAAAATAAATCTCTAAGCTTTTTTTATATTACTGTACAGAGCAAACCGCGATTGTTGTCACGAATGATAGTTGATTGCTCGCTATTTCACTTGTTCATATGTTGATATTGTTCCATTTGGTGTTGAGCCGAAAATGACAGAAAAACCCAAGTTCTGAAAGTAAACAATGTCATCCAACTTATGTAGAATATCCAAATTCCCTCGCAGAAAATGACAATGGCGTTTTATGCAGACTCCGGTGGTTTGTTTATTTGTGGCACTTGTCTGGTTCTTTTCTTTGCATGTCTTTGTAATTACGGTCTTTAAATTTGGAGTTTGGACAAGACAGTAGTTTTATTTTAAGAAGTAAGAACAGAGACTGCTACTGACCTCCCTGAGGGAAGAATTGAGAGTAGATGTTTTTAAATGTCTCCTCATTCACTGCACCACTGGGACACTCCTGGAATGAAAAGATATAAAAACCCTCGCTCTTGCAAACGCATGAAAGTGGTTGCAGGCGAGAGCAAATGTTGCCAACTGGGCTCACGTTTTTGAATCCTCTGTAGAGGATCTGCAGCTCTTTTTTACTGAAGTTAGTCTGCCCCATGAGACGTTCGAGGCCTTTGGGTCGGTGACACACCGCCGAGAACTCAGCCTCATCACATACGCTATCTGCACACGCAGGGAGACACATAACACACCATTACGGCACAAGAGATGCATTGCATGACTAACAGGAATGCGAAGGGCCACTTGCTTTGATTGATGGACGGGCCGGAGCCAGAATGATAGCAGGGCAGCAGTTTGAGGAAGCGCTGCTTGATGGTCCTTTTGGTGGCTTGATTTGGTGGGTTACCTAGAAAGAATTGAAGAGTTGAATGGGTAACTCAAGGCACTCCATAACATATTTTGAAAAGATGATGCTCTCGTCTCAGTTTACTAACCAATGTCCTGTACTTAGCCAGTGTGAAATCTGGGCTAGTTGAACCCAAAGCTCTTATTCTTATGTATGAATGCAACAAGTAGATTGGTATTAATTGACCCTTGTGGTATCCAGTAGTTTTTACTATCTCTGAGTTGGGGGTTCAACACAATGCTCTGTAAACTCTTTGTTGTGTGCGGGAATGTGGGAAAGCCATCTTTCAAAAAAAGCAAAATTTTACAAAAAAGTTATTTGCCCAACAAACATTTCATCAAAGCTTGTGGTCTTCAAATTGTGTGTTCATCCAACTATTTGCATTGATTTGTTTATTTTTTACAGTGTTGGTTCATCTAAAAATTACAATATTGTATAATTACATCACAAATAACTGATGATAAAATGTCTCTAATTTTATTCAGCATAACACCAATTTTTGTGACAAAATTAAAATGTGATTACAAACCATAATAAAAATACAATATTATGTCTTTTTTTTAAGGGCTCAAAGACCCTTAACCCCCCCCCCCCAAATTGTCAAGCGCAAATAGAATTTGAGAATTTCAGGCCACTCCAGTACAATTTATTGAAATTATGACGTTCCAAAATACTCTAAACACCTCCAATATTTTCATTCGTCCCACGAATTCTCTGGTAATTGTTTCCAAGCGAACTGGACCGTGCAATGATCAATTCTGCCAGGAGAGGGCAGTGTTGCTCCGTAGCTACATAAACCAAGAAACAAACGACCGGTACTCTCCAAGAAACGTTTACACGCACACAAAGATCCAACATGTTGAATAAATGACTGTTGAGAAATTTTCACTTAAATCTCCACTCCCGCTAACAGCCACAGCCAATCTGTGGGTGACGTTTTTGATTTTGAGAGCGCACCAAGGCCGGGTCTCGACAGCCACGTATGAGGGGGCGGCAACAAATCTTGTGGACGAATTGTGCTCCAGCACCTTTTACCACGTCTCACTGACAAATTCACTCACTTGGATGCAGCCACACACCCTGCTCGAGGAAAACAGGCTACAGTTTGTATTTATCTGCACTCTATTGAACTGATGAAATGAGTGAAACAACGAGTTCAGTGACTGTGTGCACATGTATGTTTGCATGTGTACGTGCACTCACTGTTCATGCACGTGTGTGCTGTGCATGTGTGTCCCCTCCACTCTGCAATTTTGTGCATGTGCACGTGTGTGTCACCTTCACCCTGCAATTTATGCATATTTGTTGTGTGTGTATTTCAAAATGAAGCAATTGTCCTGATCCAAGGGCACACAACTATTTCGCTTACTTTTGCCAAGGCACGTTTGTTGCGGTGTGGCATTTGCATGAGGCAGATGATGTTCGTGGACAAAATGTCTCTTTTGATGGCTGATTGTTACTTTCGGGCGGAAGAAAGCGTCCTGCTGCGTACAGAAATTCCTTTCTCTCATCACGGTGGAAGATTTTCTTCCCCAAAAGCAATCCATCCATTCATCCATTTTCTAATGCGCTGATCCTTACAAGGGTCACAGGCGTGCTGGAGCCTATCCCAGCTGTCTTCTGGCAGTACACCCAGAACTGGTTGCCAGCCAATCACAGGGCACACATACACGAACAACCATTCGCATTCACAATCACACCTAGGGACAATTTAGAGTGTTCCGTTAACCCGCATGTTTTTGGAATGTGGGAGGAAACCGGAGTCCCCGGAGAAAACCCACACAAGCACGGGAAGAACATGCAAACTCCACACAGGAAGGCCGGAACCGGAATCGAACCCTGCAACTCTGCACTGTGAGGGCAACGTGCTAACAAGTCCATTACCGCCCAACAAAAGCAATCCTCAAGGGTTATTTGTTTTGATTTCTCCATTGCTTCTGGTTCGAATGCACTCTCTACTCACTACACGCTAATCCACCCAACTCTGTGAAATAAAACATCATTACAAATATATTTAAGATACATCAGCCGGCACTATTGATTCTGAAGGACCAAGGCATACTGGATGGGAATGGAAAGTCTGAAACCCGATTGGACAAAAGAGTATCTAACACACATACTCGAAGTAGTGCAATCAAGAGAAATGCTAAGAAAGAAAAGGAAAAAAAACAGTTGTGAATAAATTACTTAAGTAATAAATAAAAAAATATCTTATTTCATGGAACAAATATAAGAATTTAGTTTATAAATGTAGGTCAGTGCTTCTGACAGTGTTTAGGCCAGCGGTGCCCAAATTGTATTGTATTATGATTTATATTTTGTATTGAATCCAGATGGAAGACAGATTAATGATCATAAATATAATGAATTAGTAAATCACCTTTATACTATGAGGAGGCGAAGTAGTTGGAAAGCTTTTATGAGTAAGCTACTTGCTGATTGCACATGTGCGTGCAGGCTATTATTCATGGAGAGCTTCATGCAGTCATGATGTTTGCTGAGGAGATGTCAATCAAATGTTCAAATACGGCAGCTGCAGCCGGGTGGAAAAGCAAATAAACAAAGGACGACACTTGTCATCTTCATAACGCAGAAGGGCAAAAATGATGCAGTCGTTTTTCTATTTCTGCCGATTGAGCGCATTTAAGCAGAGAGAGGAGAAAAAAGTTTCCTTGGCAATGCCATTTTTTTTTCTACTGGCAACTATTTTTAGAAGAGATGATTGATCGTGCCAGAATTTGATGAGAACAAAACACACACACACACACACACACACACACACACACACACACACACACACACACACACACACACACACACACACACACACACACACAAAGCAGGGTTGCAGGTAATGTTTACAACAATACAAGCACATTTAAGCATGTTCATGTCCATAAAGTGGTTAAATGTGTTTCCAAAACACCTCTCCCTCAAAGATTGGACCTGTGCTTGCCCTCCGGCTGACTTTGATTGTTTCAATCAATTTCATTGTATGCCGCTCACTGAGGCAGATCAATACACTCTACCCTGCTGCTCCTAACACAATTAAAACACTCTTATGCACTCTTTTACCAGCTGAGGATGAGACACCAGGACGAGACAAATGAGAATAAAAACACACTTGGAAAATATACATTGGCCAGGAAGTTTAAAAAAAAAATGGAAGCCGCCACTTAATGTGTCTATTCAGAGTGTGAGTCTTGTTTTTGACATTAATTATGATGTTATGAAATCCATCCCTCCATCATCCAAACCAAACGAAAACCCCAAATCCAAGTTTGGCTCTTTCACACCACAAAAACAAGAGAAATGACATATGACAAAGGCACCCAAGCTCCGCAAACCACAGTTTGCTCTAAACCAGGGGTGTCAAACGTACGGCCCGCGGGCCGGATCCGGCCCGCAAAGGACTTTAATCCGGCCCGCTAGATGATTATGTAAAGCAGTGGTGTCAAACATACGGTCCGCGGGCCGTTCAATCAGGCCCCACAGGATAATTTAAAAGTGAAGAAAATGCATAAAAGACACAGAATAAATATTTTTAATAAGGTGCAATTCATTGAGTATCCGCTAGGGGACACTGTTTTGATCAGAGAAGAAGACAACAGCAGCCTCAGTCCATCACTGAGACAGACCCATGACAGCAGACGCTATCAATAGCACTCTCACATTTACACATTTAATAGCACGCTCCTTAGTTTGTAAGGTGTAGGCAGGGATTACATTTAGATTTTATATGCACGTGTAAATGGTTTAAAACTTCCTTTCTTTATAAATCTCGTTTAATCTTAAAGTGCATTACTATATTTTTCAAAACCAATTACTTGTTAAAGTTTGTACAATCAGTGGGATCAGTTGCAATGCATATATGTGAATGATAAAAGTAAATTGCACATTTGTCGAAGGAAATGTAAGGTGCTTCATGAAATGTTTTGTAAAAGATATGTTCATTTAATTTCAACATTTTCCTAATGTTCTTGTGCTTCTTTATACTAAAACAAAGGAAAGACATGTTGTTTTGGTTATTTATAGCAAAGTATGGTATCATTTTAATGGTCCGGCCCACTTGATATCTACCCAGGCCGTATGTGGCCCACCATGTGAAATGAGTGTGACACCCCTGCTCTAAACTGATTGTGGAGTCAACATTGGAATAGTGAGTTTGAACTGAGTCACAAAACAATTGCTAAATTAGCTAAGGGTAAAGCCGTGTACACATCCTCAGAGGTTGGAAAAAATATCAAACCTATTTTTAAAAAGTGAGGAGTAGCTAGTACAGACATCTTTTTTTCAACTGAACAGAGTCAGAGTAAAATGTCGTAAAATCAAATTAACACTCAAGTGAAGTACAGATACAGTACCCGAAATTTTTATTTCAGTAGGCTACACTTGACACCAGTGGTGACACGTAAAAAAGCCTTTTGGATGCAAAATCTTTTTGGAATCTTCAAATAAGTCCACAAGATTGACGGGCAACTCCTCTGACGTTTTGATGTATCCGATCACGTTCTTTTTTTTTTTTTTTTTCCATGATCACTTTCCAAACGGACTTTCTTTCGTCACGCCATCCTAAGAAGGGTTTGGCCCAGCTAAATCAATCATGTCGCCCCTGCGCTTCCAGTAATCCTCACTGGGACTCCACTCACATTCTGGATGACCATTTCTTCCAAACCGTGCGCTCTCTCACACAGCTTTGATACAAAATACACCCGGGCTGTGTTTTGTATCAGACGTCACCTCTTCGAGTCAGGAGGATGAGCTTTGGATATTTGTAACACAACATCAAACCACACAAATCCCATTTGCTCCTTGGAGCACGTGTCAGCTGGCAAACAAGAAATGCAACGGAGATTAAGCAAAAACACACACAAACACACACATGGGCTCGAACTCGTTTGTTCCCACGAATTCACTTTTTCATTACGCAAAGTGTTACAGTAAGTGATGCGCAGACATGTTGAGTCTAGAGGGGATACTGATGACTAAGCAAATATCCA